TTTTACATTCGGGCTACTGCATATGGCGACACCACATTTGGCTCTTAATGAAAATAAAAAGGGGGTGCCAGCTGATCGTCATTCAACTAATGGTGACACTGATCAAACCACGTATGATGTATGCATTATTCGCGAACATTCTAACGTGACGTGAACAAAAACTGGCACCGGCGTAAGTCATTGCAAATATTTTTCGCCGAGTCGAGTCGAGTCATTCTGATGAGGGACTTGAGTCAAGTCGAGTCATTTGCTCGCAGTGACTTGAGTCAAGTCGAGTCATTTGCTCGCAGTGACATGAGTCGAGTCGAGTCATTTGCCCTTAGGGACTCGAGTCGGACTTGAGTCGAGTCATTAACTCGAGTCATTACAACTCTGACATGTACTCAATTAAAGAAGTACTTATTCTTAAAAAAAAATACTCATTTAGGCCTAATTAATCTAGCAATTAATTAATTCATTTTGTTTTAAAAAATACTGTGCATTTCAAGCGCTGTGTACACTTCAAAAATGCATAATTTGAAAAAAAATTAATGAACTCATTACTAATTTAATTAATTAATTTAATTAATTAAATTATTTTATTTGCAGGCTCAGTAATTCATATTTAATGTTTACATGTTTTAACTTAAAAATGCTATGCATATAAAATGGTCATTATTTTAAAAAAGTAAATACATTTTTTAATGATTTAATTGAATAATTGAATTTATTAATTTAATTAATTGATTCAACTTAATGAATAAATATGTTGTTTATTGTTTATTAAACAAAATCCTAATGAGCCATAAACAATAATACACATCATAATGCAAAGTGCATAAATTGTTTGCATTAATTAGCACCCCTTATCTCTGAACCTCTACACAATCAACCTCATCAGCATAATATGTTTAAAAAAAGGCATTAATTTAGGCATTGTCTCACGAAGCACAGTGGTGCTATTAATTGGAGAAAAATATGCTTTAAAAATATTGTTACATATCTGCATGAGTTTTTATACCAGGAAAAAAATTAGTTCAGCGGCTTTGCATGCATGGGGAAAATCTATGTAGCGCGCAAGTTTAAACTTTGGTGCGCAATTTGTAGCAAGGAAATTAATGCACGCGCAAGTTTAAACTTGGGTGCGTGCAGGTTTAAACTTGCTCGCGCAAGTTTAAACTTGCGCGGGGGACTCAAATTGCACTCGACAAGCATACTCACCCTCTTTATAGGCTAATCAAAAAGTGATGCCATTTTCTAATTTTTTGTGAAATTTCATATTGAAATTTTGATACGCAAACGGGTGCAAACAAATCTGGAAATTCTGGAAAATAAACATCTGAAAAAGGCAGCACTTTCTGATTAGCACTTTCTGATAAAGGGGGCGAAAATGCTTCTAAAGCCAAAAAAACCTACAAACTAGCCTAAATGTGAAAATCACAATTTGACAAAGTTTGACATGTTTTTGTACATGGTGGAAGTGTGGCCTTTATTTACGGAGGTAGTCCAGTAAATTGGCCACATTTATGGGGCTACCATTGAATGAAACTTGAATTTTAGTACGGTCTGACTGAACTGACGAATGATCGACCTCTCTACCCATTTTCTTGTAAAAAGTGAGAGGAACAGTGGTGTTGTTGATAATCAACAGTGGGAGTCGAGTGCACGCAGCGCCAGCAAATGACAATGCCAGCAGCATATAGCCAGCCAACACAAAAATTGATACATATTTTAATCTACACACATGTCCATTGTGGGGAGGGGGGGGGGGAGTTGGGGGGGGGGAGGGAGAGAGAGCATGATGCTGCATTGGTAGACCCTTCAAAACTACGCGATCTTACTTCTACGTAGCCCCATAAATGTGGGGCACTGAGCCAATCTCGCAGAGATTATGATCGATCGATGATTTTCGGTTCGCTCGATCGGAGCGTGCCGTGGGGGTACGGTACTTGCACTTGTACGCATGCGCATACTATCATTTCGCATGTACCGTACCCCCCGCGGCGCGCTCCGAGCAAACCGAAAATCATCGATTGATCATAATCTCTGTGTGCACGTTTTAAGTGTCAGATTGGCTCAGTGCGGAAAGGGTACATTTTTCATCATTTTGGCCTAAAAACAGACAGAATCCAGCGATGTTTGTTAGGCGCACATAACGTGAGTATGTCATGAGGTATTGTACAAAGTTTAGGGGCAAACTGTGCAGCGGTTCTGTGGGAAATGTCTCTGTTTTGATGGACTTTTTTGTACTTACATGTAATTGGTGTTTTGTGCTGCAAACAATTTTGCGGGATTCTGTGTCTATGAGGCTCCGCTCACGCCGAGCATCATAGTTCTAGGAGTAATCACAGGGCACTTTGATTGGTCACCGTGGAGATGCTCAATCGAGACACCATGTGATTTGCCCATTGAGGCCTCTAATTGAGGTGACCAGTCGAAGCGCCCTGTGATTGGTCTGTCTGATGCTTGGGGGGGGGGGGGCAGTCCTGGATGCCACAGTGGTGGTGTTCAATCTCTGTAGCATCCATGGGCATCAGTTGGTTGGGGGGGGGGAGTGGTGGACGAGTCCCACTTTTTTATCCCCGAAAAACACTCTGACCACGGTTCCATGGTGCAACAAATTTGTTGAAATCGCGTACTGATGTGAAGCAGTGTAATAACAAACGAAAACCTAGTCATGGTGACTGACTCACTTGAAGTTATTGACACATTTAAAAAAGGAAAAATCAATTCCGTGTGAGTCACTTCAATGAAAATGGCCTAACTCCTCACCACGCCACTAATATGAAAAATTAAAAATTCCTGTGGAAGAAAAGGTGATGACCATTTATATGAAACGCTCATTTTTTTTCTCAATATACTCTATTTGCCACAAAAAAATGGTGAACTTGGATCCAGATCATTCTGACTCACCCTGTACAGTTCCTGATCATCGACAGTTCCAGATCATTTGATTAAATAAAAATTAATTAAATTGTAACCAAATTTTTTGTGTGATTTTTTCCCCCGAATTTGAAGGTCTATCATTTTGCAATTGGCAGGGAATTTTTTTTTTAAACATAATTACCCACGATCCAGTTGGGCAAAATGTCCGCTTGTTTTGTAACTGGCCTGTGAAAGGAAGCGCATAAAGGCAAAATTCTGGTTTCCTTTGGAACGTATCGGTAGCCAACATTCATCGGTTTTTTGTTACTGTATTAGGTTTTCTTATAAGGAAATAATCTCAAGTATCACTGAGTAATAATGATTTTGGCATTTTGAATTAAATTAATTGCTGTATTCGCCGAAAGATTTTTATCCCCACGAGCGACAGTTGTGGATCACCCATGCACAGGATGCAGTATTGTGTGCAGTTTAGATGATGAAGGCGTAACACACGATGCTCGCGCACTGAGCGCGCTGTGAAAGATGAATTTGTACATGTACCAGGCAGCACAGCGTGCGTGATCTGGAGCTGTCGAAAATGATCCACAACTGTCTAGTTCAGTCCTGTACAAAAGCAATGATTTATATCCCTTTAAGTTGAGTCTGTGTGAACATATTTGGTTTTAACTTGAAGAGGAGGAATTGTACCACAAATTATGTCACTCGGACACAGAAACTCGGAACGTGGGCGAGTGTAAAGCGGTTTGTATAAAAAGTGATCCAGAATTGTCACACTGATAGTATTTTGCTCAAAGAAATTGCCTCTGATTGCACCACACACATGACACAGTGTCTGGAATCCAAACATTTTTGGGGCCCACATCGTTAGGGCTTAGCACTTTGTGCTCTCATTACTTTTGATCAAGGTATGCCCCCCCCCCCTTTTGAGAAGCGATTGGTGCCCTTGGTAGCATCCGTGCTGAGTAGACAGGTTTTTTCACTGCAGTGATATTGTTACGGCAGTGATCGTGTACTGACACTGTACAGGCCCATCTTTTAGTTCCGATCAAATTAGAGTCAAGAGTGTTTTTTTATCATTCAATGACCTTTTTAACCTCAAGCAGACTTCTCAGTTCTCTCCATTCTACGACACCTTTTTTGTAATTTTGAACAGTTGCTTTGGGTAGAAATAACTATTTTTGTACGCGGTTTACGATTATTGTACTCGGTTTAGGTGCCGTGCAATTTAGCTTTCCTGATAGACATCAGCAATCACCCTCTAATGATATATGACCAGTTAACGCCGGGATTATTTTGACAAGAACGGAACGAGGCGTGGGATTACTTTTCACTCGACTTCATGCCAGGCGGGTTGAAGCCATCACCCTCGGGCAGCACACTCATATTTTTGGCCTCTATCGCTGCGAGGGGGTTACTGACAGATATATTTCTGGCCTCGCTCCCTGCGTGTTTATCTGTCATCCATTCCAAATACCGCAAAACCTTTGCGTACATACATGTCATCCGGTGCAAACTGGTTAAGGCTCGCGGTTTGCAGTCATTGAACCCTAATATCTTAGTTTATTCGTAAGGAGCCTTCCTGATTTCTTGAAGCCTGGCTCTGAGCTGGAAACCAAAAAACACAATTCATGAAAGGCCCATTTTCCTCTACCTTTCTCAATCCTTAAAGAAAAAATCCTCGCAAACTGTCAGTGACATACAGAACTCTAAAAAAAACACCTTGGCAAGCAAGCTTATTAGAGTGGGACTCGAACCCACGACCTCCTGCTATTCAACCGCTGGATTATCCAACTTGAGGCTTTGAAATCTATGTTTTAAAATGTTTTTCTTTAATTTGCGGAGCTTGGATTTGTTGGTGAAAACATCAGGGCTTTGTGCAGGAAGTGACAGGTTGAAGATTAAATTTCAGGTACATACTTTGTTCAACATACCGGTATTTGGAACAATTTTATTGGACCGTTACATTGGCTATTAAATAAAATGGTTCCTAGGCTTGATGCCTTTGTAGAGTTGGTCCAGACATTTAAGTGCCAGTTTTAAAATGTAGGCCTACTTCCAAATAATCATTCCAGCAGTTTTTAGTTGCATTTTTTATTATAATTTATCTTAATGCCAATATTACAATATGTCAGTAGATATATTTGCTGTATCATGTATGTTTAATTGTTCATATCATTCCAAGCTATGCAGGCCTATACATGTGTTGACTAAAGGCTCAAAGGTGAATTAATTTGCATTGAATTGATGCTGAGCTTAAAATAACACTTCTGAACACATGATGAAATCACGCCATTTGATAAGGAAAGTCACCCATTGACTCGTCAACTTTGTAGATCTTTCCATGACAACAGACCAAACAAAACACTTCAGCGTGGACTTCAGTGTTGACTTAGAACAATTTGGGAAAACCCAGATGTATGTCTGTAGGCCTACTGGGACAAATGTAGTTGATATAATATCGATACGCGATTTGCCAGGATTAAAAACAGCCTTTTATTGCTGTTGATAAGATATATTTAGTAAAAAATAGACTTATTAGGACAAGATACAGATATTGAAAGTGCATGTTTTGTTTCATTGGGTGCAACCTGCTTGCATGTGACAGAATATCAAAGTCCTTTGTGAATCATTAACTTGTAAGGTTTGAGTCAATGCCATATATGGACATTTATCGAGAGATTAATTTGCATAATTTAGTTCCGTCAAGTGGTCATGAGATCGGTGGGTGTAGCAGCTGCAGTGCTTTAGTGTCGTCTTGGATGCCTCTGAATCCACCCGCTTCAAACCTAACTGTAAGTTTTGCCACAATGATGGTTCATTTCTTTAGTTTTTGGTTCTTATTTTGTTTCCTGGATCTTACTAAATTTCGGGGGTAACCTATTGAGAGGTTTCACCGTCGCATTTTACCTATCTCACTCACTGATGATCAACTGTGCAGTCTCGCGCAGTTTCTACCAGTGACTCAAGACCACTTCTTTTTTTTTAGACCAATTTTTCGTAGGACCTGGGCACAGTGCCTACTGTGACTATTTGTATTGGATAATCCAGGCCTGGTTGTACCCTCAAGACCCTTTGAGACCACAGCAAAATGTACCACTTAGATCTACATACGGCTTTATTCATTTGCAAGCTGAATTACATACAAGTCTAGTCTTTATGCCAAACGTTAATGACATTGGAAGTGCAAGTTTTCATGCTGAAGAATGAGATTGAAGCTGGAATGAAGACCAGTGTGTTACAGCTTTTCATTTCTCATTGACAAACAGGACCTCCATTTGTGGCTGGGTGATCCAAAGTACCATGGCTGCACAATCTGAAGCAGCCTGCCAGACTGATGTCCCTACCACGATGCAACAGGAGGCACAGGTACCCGCCCCCTCAGCTGCAACAGGTGAGTACATGTAGTAATAACTGTTTGCATGGAGTCAATGAGAGAGGGAGGGGCATTAATTAACTCTGCATCCGCCCACCCAAGGATTTTTTTGTTAGTCGTCAGGTTTTAACTTTTGGACAGTCAGATTTTTCATAGTTATACATGTTAAACCAAATAAAAATAAATGGTGTTTTTTACACCAACGGCTTAAAAACTACACCACGTAGGTAGGTAGCAGGGTTGGCAATTTTTTTGATTAAAAAAAAAAAACAGATTTATTTGATTTAAATCAGATTTTTAAAATTTAAATCAGATTTGTTTGATTTGTTTAACTTTCAAAGTATTGATATGTCTCAACATGTGTCTAAATCTCCTCATGCACCCTCACACCCATCACAAAGGAGTTTACAGGTTCCTATAATACCCATTATCCACAAAACTCAATAAATTGATAAATGCTTTTGAAAAAAATTGTATTGAATCAGTGATTTAAAAAAAAATCACATGATTTCTTCTACATAGTCTACATCATTGGTCCAATGGAACATTAATACTGAAGACACTTTAAAGGAGCATGCTTGATTGATACAACTGAGATACGTTATGTGTGTACATACGAATGAAAACTTGATTTATGGTACGCGTACATGGCATACAAAAAAATATGACAGTTCTCCATGGGCATGTTGATTTCATAAAAATGCTTCTCATTTCAAAACCGGCGGCACTGATTGTGTAACTTATAGTGTTTGATTGATGGTCCAAGGTGGAGAACAGAAATCAGGCCTTGCACCTTTAAAAGGTTTTATTGAGAAGTCTATAAGAATACTCTAAACAACAAAAAAGCTCCAAATGCAAGTTTGCCACTGTGTGCACAAGGGATATTAGTACATCATGAACTACAAGATACTGCACCAGGGTTGGCTGATTTAAATCACGTTGATTTAAATCACTGATTTAAATCGCGATTTAAATCAAATGATTTTTTTATAAAAATCACTGATTTAAATCACTTTTGTGTAAAAATCTTATTTTTGGCAAAATCAATTGATTGAGGGTCATTTAAATCATTTAAATCAACTGATTCCACTTAATTAAAAAGTGTAAGATATTGTTAACACATTCAAACGCCCCTACTTCATCACCATCTACTCAATTTAGGTTTTGCATAATTACACAAAATCATTGTTTTGATTAAGTCAAGATTTGAGTTCAAAAGTTTTTCTTCAAAGTTTTTAATTTTAAAGAGAGCACACTCACATTTGCTTTAATCATTCCTTGATCTGTTTACAGTAATATTGTGAATCAACTGTGCTGGTGAAGGCTTACATGAGCCACCAAAAGGTGTATTAAAATTCCCAATTGATAGTCTTTTTCCTAACGTTTCTCCTTACAAATTTAGATTGAGATTTGTATAAAACTTTTTAAAGGTGCAAGGCCTGATTTCTGTTCTCCACCTTGGACCATCAATCAAACACTATAAGTTTATACACAATCAGTGCCGCCGGTTTTGAAATTAGAAGCATTTTTATGAAATCAACATGCCCATGGAGAACTGTCATATTTTTTTGTATGCCATGTACGCGTACCATAAATCAAGTTTTCATTCGTATACACACACATAACGTACCTCAGCTGTATCAATCAAGCAATGCTCCTTTAAAGTGTCTTCAGTATTAATGTACCATTGGACCAATGATGTACATGTAGACTACATGTAGAAGAAATTAAGTGATTTTTTTAAATCACTGATTCAATACAATTTTTTTCAAAAGCATTTATCAATTTATTGAGTTTTGTGGATGATGGGTATTATAGGAACCTGTAAACTCCTTTGTGATGGGTGTGAGGGTGTATGGGGAGATTTAGACACATGTTAAGACATATCAATATTTTGAAAGTTAAAAAAATCAAACAAATCTGATTTAAATAAAAAACATCTGATTTAAATCAAATAAATCTGATTTTTTTTTTTTTTTAAATAAAAAAATTGCCAACCCTGTACTGCACAGTCCTATGGGTCATTATGTATGCAAATCCTCTGTACTGTCTCAATAAACTATTACTTCTAGGAAGGAGGGAACAAAGGACTAAAGCATGGTCTATGCTAAACATATGGATGCGTGTCTAAACAAACCTAGAAAAATATGAAAATATAAACTCAGAATGCAAGAAAAAATAACTGTGGAGAACATACACATGAAACTTAAAGAGGTTGTGGAATGTTCGAAAACATTTCCGTCATTTTTCGGGTATATGTAGCCTTAGGTGTGATGAAATAAAAATGACTATGAATCATTGTGTCAGTATTCTAAAAGGATATTTGAATTCTTTTGATTTTAGATTCCCCACAACGAACTGGAGCCACCGGAAACATAGGCTCAGTCAGCGGTAGCCACAACCCTACCATTATTGGTGCAAGTGTAGTTAGCTTCACTTATGGACAAGGTAAATATGATCTTGTTCGTTACACTACTTGATATCTTAGATCAGTTGAATGTATTTTGTTGGGGGTGGGGAGGTTGGAGGTGATATATACTACACAAACATGGTCACAAAACAGGATTACAGGTTTTGCGAGAGTGCCACCAAGAGTTTGCCACGGAGAGTTCATTTTCCCAGTGCATTGTGGGAGATAGTCTACAAATTCGCAGCGCGGGACATTTGAAATTGTTAGTTTTTTCCGGTCAGTAGTTTCGTAAGCGTATGATTCGAGGATCTGTTTGCCCTTTTCTTTTCTTCTTATCAAAATGGTGTTTTTTGTAAGGCGGCAGAACGCTATGCTCCAATCTATAACATACATGTTTAAGCTCAAGTTGTCTTCTGACACTCATTCAAATGGACTAGGCTTTGTCAACCCTAAACCTGAAAAGTGGACTCTCCATGGCAAACTCTTGGTGGCGCACTGCATTGTGAATCGCCCCGAATTTCTTGGCTACATTGATAAACCAGTTTGTAATAGGATGTACAGTGCACTGCAGCGAGCTCATTAGAAGGGCGCTATTTATAGTGGGTGAAGTCTTGTAATTTGTTCTTTATGTACCCACACCAAATGGCACCCCTATTGTGTGTGTAACATTTGGAGAAAAAAAAGTGAAAAAAGGTGAATATACCGGTTGCTTTAATTACTGAAGTTGCACATTAATTTTGCATTCATATTTGAGTGCATGGAATAATGAAATCACCCTTTTTTGAGGCCTACACCTGCAGTTACCAGTTTTTGTGTGAATTTATTTTCGGTTGGGTGAAAAAAAACATGTGAAAGTACTATAAACCAATAAGACAAGTTTGTGTCCAACAGAAGTACAAGAGCCAAAACATTCTTCTTTATTGTTTGTTTTTGCTTTTGGAAAATTTGATACACTGCCTGCTAATGAACTGTAAATCCCAAGTCTATTTCTTTGACATGTTTGCCTCAGTAGAGGAAGACTATTTAATCGTTTCAGAAACAATGTTTAACTGAAGTAATACATGTACATTCAATATGGGTTTTGCCCTCCATCGACATATGTTACAAACACTGTATACTCGATGTTTTCCCGAGTGATAATGAGAAAATGTCACTCGTATGGGACTTGAACTCATGACCTCCTGCTTTAACTTGTACATGGTGCTTGTTTTTTACCTCAATAGGAGTACCTCCGCAGAGACCAAACCAAGATCCAAGAGTGGGGGATCTCTACCAAGAAGTCGGTAACAAGACCAGGGACATTTTGAGGAAATGCTACAAGACAACGGGTAGCTATGTTCAGTTGAACCCTGGGATTCCTGATGATCAAAGACCCATTGCTGGCATTTACACTAAATTGCGGGTTAGAACAAAGAAAGGTACTTTAGAAGAAGAATACTCTGAGGAAACTGTATATTCCACAGAGTATGAGAAAATATTGAAAGATTCGCCTGAGACTGAGTTCAATCGTGCTATTTTATTTGGCATTGGTGGTGCCGGGAAGTCAACCATATTTGACAAGATTGCATATGACTGGGCTGATGAGGCATGTGAAATCCTGAAAAGATTCCAGCTTGTCTTTCTTTTAAAAATGTATGCCCTGTTTCAAGAATCTGATCTTGTTGATTCCATTTTTGATCAACTTTTAGGCGAAACGTCTGGGGTAGCCAAAGTTGAACTTGATAAATTCATTCAGGACAACTCAAATAAGGTCTTGATACTTTTGGATGGTTTTGATGAAATGAGGACCAAAACACTTGATGCAGCCTCATTCGGGTCTACCCTAAAAGCGCTTTGTAGAACAGAATACAGGGATTGTTTTGTATTGGTGTCAACTCGCCCCTCCCATCTTGAGAAATTGATGTCAAAATCACTTGTTCAAAATCCTTGCACACACGTAGAGGTTCTGGGGTTTACCAAGGAAGATGTTAATGAATACATTCGGAAATTCTATTACAAAGATCCTGATAGTGGCAGTGCACTAATCCAAAACATTGAAAAATCCAACACGCTGCTCGATTTCTCCACGAATCCAATGCTTCTCCTTCTCATGTGTTTGTTGTGGAGGGAGAAAAAACAACTCCCCGAAACAACTTCACGCCTCTTCACTGAGGCAGTTGATTACATGTTCACAAGAAAAGGATATAGCTCCGAAGATGCATCAAAAACAGTGATTGCTTTAGGAAAAACTGCACTGAGTGGTTTCGTAATTGCCGACCAGAATTTCTCATTTCAAAAAGATGAGTTTGAACAAAATGCGCTGGACCTGGCACTGAAAGCAGGCATCCTAACCCAGCAGAGAGTTATCAAAAACCTCAAATGTCACAACAACATACAATTCATGCACAAGACTATTCAGGAATACTGTGCTGGTAAATACTTGCAAAGTGTACATATGTCACACCCGGGCTTTGTAAAGCGTACGGTGTACAAAGTTGTTCCATTTGGAGAATTTCAAAACAATTTAAGGCAACTATGTCAGACAATTGAGGGTGTCGTTTCAAATGATTTTCTTTTGCGTTTTTGTTGTGGCGACAATGAAAAGTGCATGACTGACATTGTTAGATTGCTTGACCGTAAATTCAACAAGGATCGACATAAGCCCATGTACCAATCAGACGTTATACAATTAATTAGTCAACACTGTTTTTTTGAAAGCCAATCCAAAAAGATCCCACAATGTCTAACCAGCAACTCACTCATCCCATCACATATCAAGGTGAATAACAATACTGATGTCCGCATTCTCATATACCTTCTTAAAATGATCTGTAGGTCAGAAGTTCAGGTGGCACAACTGTCATGCATTGACACCATTCGGATTGAGTCTGTGTCATCTGTCAGTGGTTTAGCCTTCGCCCTGGGTTACATGAAAAACCTCAGGCATCTGACGCTCGGCTTGTGTCTTTTAGTGCAGGGTGAGCTTGAGAAAATCCTGTCATCACTGAAATGCAACTATCTCTTGACCAGTCTTTACATAGAGAAATGCAATACATTGGGAGGTAGAGCTGTAGAATGGGCCCCTCATATCAAACACTTGACAAGCCTTGAGAAACTTGAAGTAAGCAGGTGCAAACTTCAGAGGACAGACATTCCACACATTGCTTTGGCTGTAGGTAACATGCCCAAACTGACTGACTTGGATCTTTTTGACAACAAGTCATTGGGTGGATGTGCTGCATGGTGGGCCAAGGAATTGCCCAATATGATGCACTTATATAGGCTGGACCTGAACTTTTGCGATTTGACACAGTCAGACATTCCACACATTGCCTTGGCTGTAGGTAACATGCCCAGACTGACTGACTTGGATCTTGGTGACAACGAGTCATTAGGTGAATGTGCTGCGTTGTGGGCCAAGGAATTACCCAAAATGATGCACTTATATAAGCTGAACCTGAGCTGGTGCAATTTGACACAGTCAGACATTCCACACATTGCCTCGGCTGTAGGTAACATGCCCAGACTGACTGACTTGAATCTTGGTTACAACAAGTCATTGGGTGAATGTGCTGTGTTGTGGGCCAAGGAATTACCCAAAATGATGCACTTAAATAAGCTGAACCTGAGCCGGTGCAATTTGACACAGTCAGACATTCCACACATTGCCTTGGCTGTAGGTAACATGCCCAAACTGACTGACTTGGATCTTGGTAACAACAAGGCATTGGGTAGACGGCGTAAGTTACAGTCCCTCTTCCCATCACTTATAGTCCAGGCAATATAAGGTTTGACCTCAAAACAAATTGCAACAGAATTTTTTTTACCACAGTGCATTTCTTTAAGGTGCCTAAAATGACATACTAAAAGTCCAAAAAAATCCAAGTGGTGGAAATATGCCTAATTTGCATAAATCCAAAATTGCCGCATATTTTAGGACTTTCACAATGATTTGGTCATATTTCTCATACTATTAGCTTCTTGAGGAACTTTAAACAACAATGTTAGTCCTTTTACATTGATTTCATCATTATTCTAGTCCTAGGTAAATTTCAAGATCCCTATGTTTCCCAAATTTGCCAAATGCGGTATAATAATTTGCATAAATGCCGTATATTAATTTGCATAAATTAAAGTTAAAATTATGGCTGTCATGTGTTGACATCACAATTGAATTTTCCCTAATAACTTCTAGTTAAGTTACATGTATGTATACATAAATATCACACCACAGAGCATCTCTATATGGTCCCGAAAAAAAAGTACAAAAAAATCCAAGTGGTGGAAATATGCTTAATTTGCATAAATTCAAAATAGCCACTAATTATATGATTTTCATATTGATTTGGCCATAACTCTCGTCCTACATTGCTTTTTGGGGTACTTTAAACAACAATTTGTCCTTTACATTGATTTCATCATTATTCTAGTCCTGGGTACCCTTCTAGATCCCTATGTTTCCCAACTTTGCCAAATGCTGTATAATAATTTGCATAAATGCCGTATATTAATTTGCATATAATTAAAATTAAAATTATGGCTGTCATGTGTGGACATCCCACAATTGAATTTGTTCTAATAACTTCTAGTTCAGTTATGTATCACACCACAGAGCATCTTTATATGGTCCCGAAAAAAAAGTAAAAAAAAAATCGAAGTGGTGGAAATATGCCTAATTTGCATAAATTCAAAATGGCCACTAATTATATGATTTTCATACCGATTTGGCCATTACTCTCGTCCTACATTACTTTTTGGGGTACTTTAAACAACAATTTGTCCTTTTACGTTGATTTCATCATTATTCTAGTCCTGGGTACCTTCCGAGATCCCTATGTTTCCCAACTTTGCCAAATGCCGTATAATAATTTGCATAAATGCCTTATATTAATTTGCATAAATTCAAATAAAGTAAAGTAAAGTTGAAGTTACAGCACAATTAGGACCCATGTTGGGACTTAGGCCATGACAAATGGGTTGCGGGGGTAACTATTCATCAGGTTTTGCACTTTTATTGAGTCTGATTTAAGAGGCGCAAGATACATATTGAGTA